ACACACACACACACACACACACACACACACACACTGTACACTGTGTACATCAGGCTCACACTAGAGTATGCAGCACCAGTTTGGAACCCACACCTGGTCAAACACGTCAAGAAATTAGAGAAAGTGCAAAGGTTTGCAACAAGGCTAGTTCCGGAGCTCAGGGGAATGTCCTACGAAGAAAGGTTGAGGGAAATCGGACTGACGACATTGGAGGACAGGTGGGTCAAGGGAGACATGATAACGACATACAAAATACTGCGTGGAATAGATAAGGTAGATAGAGACAGGTTATTCCGGAGAGGGGACACAGAAACAATGGGCCACAATTGGAAGCTGAAGATTCAGACGAGTCAGAGGGATGTTAGGAAGTATTTCTTCAGTTATAGACTCGTCAGGTAGTTGAATAGTCTAACAAGTGAGGTAGTGGAGGCAGGAACCATACATAGCTTTAAGACGAGGTATGACAAAGCTCAGGAAGCAGAGAGAGAGAGAACCTAGTAGCGATCAGTGAAGAGGCTGGGCCAGGAGCTGAGTCTCGACCCCTGCAACTACACTTAGGTGAGTACACACACACACACACACACATATTATATATATATATATATATATATATATATATATATATATATATATATATATATATATATATGTATATATGCAAAACAACCACTCTGAAAGAATAGAGAAATTCCAAGCGCTTTCGTGACTACTCACATTATCATAGTTCCTTGATAATGTGAGTAGTCACGAAAGCGCTTGGAATTTCTCTATTCTTTCAGAGTGGTTGTTTTGCATATTTTGAAATCACCTGTTTACTGTGATCTTATTGCATATATATATATATATATATATATATATATATATATATATATATATATATATATATATATATATATATATATATATATATATATATATATATATATATATACATATATATATATATATATATATATATATATATATATATACACATAAAAATATATATATATATATATATATATATATATATATATATATATATATATATATATATATATATATATATATATATATACATTTCAACACGCCCGTCGTTTCCCACCGAGGCAGGGTGACCCCCCCCCCAAAAAAAAAAAAAAATTCCCAAAAAGAAAATACTTTCATCATCATTCAACACTTTCACCATCACACATACATAATCACTGTCTTTGCAGAGGTGCTCAGATACGACAGTTTAGATGTCCCTGCAAACTGCCAATGTCATAAACCCCTCCTTTAAAGTGCAGAGACAACGCAATAAGTGTCAGGGGCCCAAAACTGTTTAACTGCCTCCCAGCATACATAAGGGGGATTAACAATAGACCCCTGGCTGTCTTTATGAAGGCACTGGACAGGCACCTAAAGTCAGTATCTGACCAGCCGGGCTGCGGTTTGTACGTCAGTTTGCGTGTGGACAGCAGTAACAGCCTGGCTGATCAGACCCTGTTCTACCACGAGCCCTGGTCTCAGACCGGGCCACGAGGGTGTGGACCCCCGAAACCCTCTCCAGGTATACTCCAGGTATCATTCAACACTTTCACCATCACTCATACATAATCACTGTCTTTGCAGTCGAGATGTCCCTCCAAACTTCCAGTATCCTAAACCCTTCCTTTAAAGTGCAGGACTCAAGTCCTGCTAACCTGTTTCCCCAAATGCCTTCACAGCACTCCAACAGCTCGTCAGGTCCCAAAAACAAATTCGTCTCACACACTATCGCTGGAAGTCTAAGCCTCTCGCAAGCAAAACATTTATCCCCTCCTTCCAACCTTCTTGAGGACGACTCCTACCCCGCCTTCCTTTCCCTACAGATTTATACGCTCTCTAAGTCAGTCTACTTTGTTGCATTGTCTCTAAATGACTAAACCACCTCAAGAACCTCTCTTCAGCCCTCTGACTAATACTTTTAAAAACTCCACACCTCCAAATTTCCACTCTACGAATTCTCTGCATAATATTTACACAATACATTGCCCTTAGACAGGACATCTCCACTGCCTCCAGCCGCCTCCTCGCTGCAGCATCTGCAACCCAAGCTTCACACCCATAAAAGAGTGTTAGTACCACTATACTTTCGTAAATTTCCTTCTTTGCCTCCAAGGATAACGTTTTTTGTCTCCACAGATACCTCAACGCACCACTCACCTTTTTCCTTCATCAATTCTATGGTTAACCTCATCCTTCATAAACCCATCCACTGACAAATGAACTCTCAAATATGTGAACATATTCACTTCTTCCATACTCCCTCCCTCCAGCGTATATATACATTCATAAATACATATATATACATATACATACATCTTATCAAGCTGAATCGATGATTTAGGCTAGAAAAAGAATGAATATTTGTGTATGCAATGAATCCACGAAAATCAGTCTAAGCATTACATAAATATGTATATATAACATTGATGACAGGAGATATATGTACTACACGAATAATTTTCGCTAAAAATTAGTTGTTATTTAAAAAAAAAAAATTATTTTTAGGCATCCAGTGGGATTTTGATTTTGATAAGGCCTGAGGGTTATGTGAAGACGATTTCAATTTAAGGGGTTCATCGGAAATTGGAATCTCCTTCAGATAGCTTTTCATATAAATGTTGCTAAATTTTATCATTTAATAAAACGTAAATTATTCATAGAGAGATACGAAATCTGGTTACTGACTTGATCAGGGCAAGATCATTAGCTAAGTTGTATGTGGGGTAGATGACGATATCGGCAGCCATGACAGACACCAGCGCTTTCGTGTTCCTTTGACGGACTCCCAGATTAACCTGCAACAGCGGTCTCCACAAGCTACCATTAGCGTATTTCCTGCGTTAAAAATAACACGGCAGTTGGAATTAGTACACTTAGTGCATTTCTTAATTACTCCTTGAACAAAAAAATGCAAGTACATTACACATTAAATCTCATAATGAATAATAATACAATATTAATATGGTCTATCTGTATTGTCCAGTGTGGCCTATTTGGCAATGGTGCACTTTGCCGAATAAGCCGAATGAAAATTTGTTTTTGCAATAAATCAGCGGATATCGATCTGAACATTAAGAAAAAATATATATCAGTGATTTTAACTGTTATTAAATAAATTTAGAGCATAATTTATCTAAAAAATTATGTTTATTTTCAGGAGGTTAGGTGAGCTTTCTATGTTAGTTTTGGTCAAAAAAATAAAAATCTTTGTATCAGTGTCAAATAGCTATCAATCCGAAGAATATATATATATATATATATTATATATATATATATATATATATATTATATATATATATATTATATATATATATATATATTATATATATATATATACATTATTACAGCCCAGGCACAATAAGGCCTGATATCCTGGATGTGAAGGGGAGCAAGGAGCAGAACAAACACAGCTGAATGACTTTGAAATATATTTTCCATCACCAAGAGCTCAAGAGCTATAGCAAGGATTTACACATATGTACACTCTATACAGTTGGAAATGTATGTGTACAACACACTTAGTCGAAGGCAAAGACACAGCCTGGAGACAGAATGGACATCCGTGCTCAACCAGCTCTAGAATGGAAATGTCAAGGGTGGACAGGTGAGTGGTGACCACGACACCTCCACATTTGGCAGACCCCCCCTTTCATTGGCTGAAACCTGATACTGATTCGACGATGGGGTCCGATCGTCGATCCTTGATCTGGTTCGTGGTTGGGGAGGTAACCTTTTAATGAGGGGTGTACATTCTCGGAAAAAAAGGTTTTATTTTATATTTTATAATATTTATATATTATATTATATATATTATATATATATATTAATATATTATAAAATATTATATAATATATTGGTAATAATTCCCTTAGAACAAGTTGCAGCAGTAAAACCACGGGGGTAGATAAAGTCCCCCCACCATCTGTTCTTACCCCCCTGGATATCAGAAGTGCCTAGGGAATAAAAAGGTAAAAACATCCCATTAATTATTAACCAATTTATAAGGGGGAAGAAATTTGTCTTAATCTTTACAAGGCCTTTGTTGTTACAAAGTAATTTTTTTGGCTCACTTACGATTTCTGACCCTCAAGTTTAATTAAAAACTTTCCCTTTCAAAATTATTTTTTTTTTTTGACCCCTACTTTCTGTCTTTCACTTTTAGAGCGTCGTGAAATTTTTGTCCCCATGACGCAGGTAAAACGAAGGGTTCGTGCCCTAGCTAGTCGCAGTGTTGTTTTGTTTTAATACCATCCTTCGTGGGAAAAAATATTTTAACTTTTTTATATTTTTATTATTTTATAATAATTATATTATATATTAATTATTATATATATTTTTAAAATTTAAAATTATTTTTTATTTTATATATAATATATATCACCCGACTTGGTGGGTTTCAGAGGGCTGCTGTTAAACTCCCCAAATTTTTTCCCAACCTTTTCCCCGGGTTTGGCGGTGTCCCAGAGGCCACGCCCTTTTTTCTTTGGTGCTTTTTGTGTGCCCCCCGGGAAAAAGGATGGGGGAAACAGGCCCTTGCAGTGGGTAACCCTTGGGCGCTAGTCCCCCAAGGCGCAGTAAGAAGGGTGAGTCAAAGGCTCTGCAATGCTGAAACCAACTCAGCTCGGTTTCGGCGTTCAACGGGGCTGCGAAGCAGTCCCCACCAGCAGAGTATATATAAAAAATGTTATGAAAAAGCCTTTTTTTTCAAATGGACTTTGCCAATGCTTTCAACTAGTCAAAAGGGATGCTGCTTCCCAAGCAGTTTATGAAATTCCCCTTCCCTTTACCCTTCATAGAATCGTGTTTAGTGTGATTCCCAAAAACTTTTTTGGGGGGCATAAAATTCTGTGTGAGGGGTGCAAACGGGGACCCTCTCCCCCCCTTTCTTTTTTTTGGGGTCATCAAGGAAGTCACGGAGGCCCCTTCCAGCGGCTAAATATCGGGTTTCCCTGGACGACGGCCCCTGGCTGGACACGGAATCTTCCTGGAGGACATCGTAAAATTAAAGACATTTTGGGAGAAACCCGGGGCCTTTCTTTAAACCCCCACCAAATGTGAAATAGTTTCTACCAACAACGTTGATCCAGAATATTAGTACCTTTTTCCCAGGGCCGAGATTGATCCACCCAATAGCCCCTTCCTGGTTCCTCTTTGGGCCCAATCCCATCGATTGGTCCTAGGAAAAAAAGTTCAGCCTCGGAGATGGAAAGCGGAGAAAGACATTTAACACACGTGCTTCTACCTATCACCAGGTGCCCGTCAACCCCCAAAAATTACTATTTTCTGAGATGCTCCCAGCCTTCAGCAGTCCAAACTCAAGGAATATGACTTTCCTGAAGGCCTGCTAGAGAGTGTATTTAATCTTTCCCTTGACGATGGACCCGTGGTTGCAAACCCCATCGGTAGGTTGGGGGCTAGGAGTACGCAGATCCCCCCGATGCTCTACCCCCCCTTTCTTCCTTTCCCTTGCATCAAAAAAGTTGATAAGACAAATTCTTCCTGAACCCCCAGTGACTCAGCAGGATAGAAGACCCCAGCTTGTCGTGCCATCACCGAATGGGAGACTTTGCTGTCCAGCACCCAAAACCCCAGTTTCAGCAGGTCACAAACAGTTTAAAACTGGGGTAGCCCCCAATTGCTGAAAAGGTGCTTGCCAATGCTCAGGGCTGCAAATAGATAGGGGGGATTGCCCGTTCCAGGCTGTGATGCACTTTATCCCGGGGACTTCCCCCAAAAAAAGTTCCCTATCGGGTGGGAACGCGACTCGACCCTAAGACCCCCCGTATTGCAGTGGTTGCGCCTTTCTGCCCCAATTCACACGAATTTGGTATTTGCGGCGAAGGCAAGCAGCCAATCGGTTACATGGGCTTAATGTTCCAAAACCCAAGGGGTGGATGCAAAACACAATGAGGTCAACGACATCATTAAGAGAACCCTTGCTACAGCTGGTGCCCCGCCCAGAGGGGGGCCCCGATCACTTGCGCAAAATACCCCCAACCCCGCAAACCCCCCCGACGGGGTCACCATCTATCTTGAAAAATGGCAAAACTTTAGCATGGGACTATCCTGTGTGTCACCTGGCTGACACCTATATCCCTCACGTGTGGGGCGAAGGGAGGAGTGCTGCCACAGGGGGAGTACAAAATCAGCAAGTACAGGGGGCTTAGCCCAAAAGTATCAATTTGTCCGTGGGATCGAGACCTTGGGGTCAGGGGGGAAAAAAAGCCACACGTTTCCTTAAAAAATTGGGTTCCCGATATCGAACCCCCAGGGACCCAGGGCAGCCCCCTTTCATGTTCCGCGTAGCGTCCACCGAGGGGAAAAGCTTTCTGCTTTTCTTGGCTCACGTCCAGCCCCGGAGGAGCTGGAGGAAATTCTTTCTTGATACATTGTGCCTTTTATTTTGTTTTGTTTTTTTCTGAAGATTTGTTTTTTAATAAATGTTCACATAGAATAAAAATAACAGGGGGGTGGTAGGAGGGAAAAATTTCAAAAAGCTCGGGGAGAACCCTTTAGTTTTTCTGAGGTAGTTTTTTGTCTTTTCTGAGGTGAGGGTCCCATTCCCGCTATGAGGTGGTACTTCCCCATATTTTTTTTATATTTAATTTTTTTATATATATATAATTATAATATTTATATAATATATTATTATATATATTATTATTTTATATAATTATTTATATTTATATAATATATGATTATATAATTATTATATATATATATATATTATATATATATATATATATTTTATATATTTTTTTATTATCACACCCGGGCCCATTCCCCCCAAGGGAGGGTGGCCCGAAAAAGAAAAACTTCACCCTCATTCACTCCTCCTGTTTGCCAGAGGGGTGCTTTACACTACAGTTTTTAAACTGCAAATTAACACCCCCCCTTTAAGTGCGGGCACTGTCTTCCCATCTCCGGATTCAGTCCGGCCTGCCCGGGTTTCCTGAATCCCCTTATAAAGTTACTTGCTCACACTCCAACAGCACGTCAAGTTTAAAAACCATTTTTCTCCCTTTTACTCTATCAAAAAAACGCTCACGCATGCCTGCTGGAAGTCCAAAACCCCCGCACACAAAACCTCCTTTACCCCTCCCCCCAACCCTTTCCCAGGCCGCCCTACCCCGCCCTTTTTCCACTAAAAGACTGATACACTCTTTAAAAACATTTGTTTTGCTCCATTCTCTCTACCCTGTCCGAACCACCCCAAAACCCTTCCCCAGCCCTCTGGGGCAACAGTTTTTTGGGGAAACCCGCCCCCTCCTAATTCCAAAATACGAATTTTCTGATTATATTCACACCCCCAAAATTGCCCCCAGACTGACATCTCCACGCCTCCGCCCTTTCCTGCTGCAACTTTTTCCCCCCACCTTCACACCCATTAAGAGCGTTGGTAAAAAATTTCCTCATACTTTCCCCCTTTTTCCCCCCAAGGGGCAAAAATTCTTGCTCCACGATCCTAAGTACCCACTCACTCTTTTTTCCCCATTCTTCTTGGGTTATCATCTTTCATAGACCCATCCGCTGACACGTCCCCCCAAATATCTGAAACGTTTTCCCCCCTCCTACTCTTCCCTTTTCCCAAACGGGTATTCAATCTTTTACCCCCTAATCTTTTTGTTATCCTCATAAACCTTACTCTTTCCTGTATTCCCCTTTTTATTTTTCTTTTTTTGCACACCCTACCAAATTTCATCCACCAATATTATATATATATATATATATTATATATATTATATATTTTATTATATATTTATTATTTATATATATATATTTATATATATTATATATATATATTATATAATATATATATATATCGTGCCGAATAAGTAAAACTTGTGATTTTGGATTAAGTAGCAACGCACTTCTTGCTGAATTAGGCTAAATTAAATTACGCTTGCTATAATAACGTTAGGTAAGTTTCCTAAGTTATGTAAGTCATTAATTTTTATATTAACATAAACGAAAAAAATGATCTTTAAATGTAAGACAACATTATAGAAAGGACTTAATTTTAAATGAGTTTTTGCTAATCCCCTTGATTATTGATTCAAGGAACTGGAACTAAACTTCCTAAACTATACTACCCCTACGGATTTGACACTTTCCCGTAATTTTATTAGTAATATAATAATATTGACAAGAAAATTAACTTGCCTGCCAAGGAAATTCGTATTGCGCAGCAATTGATCCTTTAATGATTCTGTTGGGACTGACTGTAGAGATTCCACAACCTGGGTATGAGAGCGTGTCAGCAGTGTTGGCTGTGTTACGACCTGTGATATCTGCCTTCAGATTACTGCTGTCAGGTGAACCTGTTGTGTTGAGAGTAAAGAAAACGTTTTAAAAAAGTTTTTTTTTTTTTTTCAAGAAATTGGACGGTAGTGTGTGTGTGTGTGTGTGTGTGTGTGTGTGTGTGTGTGTGTGCTGTGTGGTGTGTGGTGTGTGTGTGTGTGTGTGTGTGTGTGTGTGTGTGTGTGTGTACTCACCTAGTTGTACTCACCTATTTGAGGTTTCCGGGGTCGAGTCCAAGCTCCTGGCTCCGCCTCTTCACTGGTCGCTACTAGGTCACTCTCCCTGAACCTTGGCTTTATCATACCTCTGCTTAAAGCTATGTATGGATCCTGCCTCCACTACATCGCTTCCCAAACTATTCCACTTACTGACTGCTCTGTGGCTGAAGAAATACTTCCTAACATCCTGTGATTCATCTGTGTCTTCAACTTCCAAATGTGGTCCCCTTGTTACTGTGTCCCAAACTCTGGAACATCCTGTCTTTGTCCACCTTGTCAATTCCTCTCAGTATTTTGTATGTCGTTATCATGCCCCCCCCTATCTCTCCTGTCCTCCAGTGTCGTCAGGTCTTTTTTCCCCTTAACCTCTCCTCGTAAGACATACCTTTTAAAGCTCTGCGAATAGTCTTGTTGCAAACCTTTGCACTTTCTCTAGTTTCTTTACGTGCTTGGCTAGGTGTGGGTTCCAAAACTGGTGCCGCATACTCCAATAGGGGCCTAACGTACACGGTGTACAGGGTCCTGAACGACACCCCTTTTTAAGAATGTCGGAATGCTGTTCTGAGGTTTGCTAGGCGCCCATATGTGCAGCAGTTATTTGGTTAATGTGCGTTTTTAGGAGATGTGCCCCGGTGTTATAAATCACCCCCAAAATCTTTTTCCTTTGAGGGGGGTAGTAGTCTCTGGCCCCTAGACTGTAAATCCGCTGCGGTCTTCTTTGCCCTTCCCCAATCTTCATGACTTTGCACTTGGGGGGATTGAACTCAGTAGGCCATTTTCTGGACCAGGTCTGCAGCCTGTCCAATTTCCCCTTTGTATTCTGTCGGTCTTCGATCGAGTGAACTCTTCTCATCAACTTCAAGTCATCTGCAAACAGGGAAAACCTCAGGGCTCTATTCCTTCCGTCATGTCGTTCACAAATACCAGAAACAGCACTGGTCCTAGGACTGACCCCTGTGGGACCCCGCTGGTCACAGGTGCCCACTCTGACACCTCGCCACGTACCATGACTCGCTGCTGTCTTCCTGACAAGTATTTCCTGATCCATTGTAGTGCCTTCCCTGTTATCCCTGCTTGGTCCTCCAGTTTTTGCACTAATCTCTTGTGTGGAATTGTGTCAAACGCCTTCTTGCAGTCCAAGAAAATGCAATCCACCCACCCCTCTCTCTCTCTTGTCTTACTGCTGTCACCATGTCATAGAACTCCAGTAGGTTTGTGACACAGGATTTCCCGTCCCTGAAACCATGTTGGCTGCTGTTGATGAGATCATTCCTTTCTAGGTGTTCCACCACTCTTCTCCTGATAATCTTCTCCAAGACTTTGCATACTATATATGTCAGTGACACTGGTCTGTAGTTTAGTGCTTCATGTCTGTCTCCTTTTTTAAAGATTGGGACTACATTTTCTGTCTTCCATGCCTCAGGCAATCTCCCTGTTTCGATAGATGTACTTAATATTGTTGTGTGTGTGGGGAGGGGAGGGTGTATACTCACAATAATAATAATAATAATAATAATTTATTTCTATTCTTATTTTAAAAAGGAATTAAAATATATCAGTCCATCCTGCAACATTAACAAGTCATAAGTGAACGAGAAAAGGAGGAACCAGAAGTCAGGTTTGGAAGACGTCGAGAAAAGAGTAATGTAGGATAATGAAACGCAAGAAAAGGAAAAGTAGTAAAATCTGAAAGTAATATGAAAAATAAGGGAATATGGGATTTATTTAATATTTAGCTCGTCCATTTCATGCCGTAAACATTACTCAGTCTCAGCGTATTCTTGTCGTTTTCTATGGTGAAGCCCAAAGTAAGTGATGAGTATCGATGATAAGTAAGTAAGTAAGTAAGTAAGTAAGTTTATTCAGGTATACACAAATACAGTTACATAGAATTATCATACATAACAGCATATGTGTAGAGAACCTGGGATAACCCAAAAAAGTCAGACAGAGTGACTTATTTCCATTGGATGTACTATTAGAATACTGGGATAGGAATAATCAAAAGAATGAGGCTTCATTACACATCATTTAGAAATGTGTCTCAGGGTTACTAAAGAATTGTGTGTCTGGTGCTGTCATGAACTATGTGTCTGGGTTTGTCATAGAAGATTGTCCGGTGATGTCATAAAAGGAGTATCAGAAAAGCGTGAAGAAAATAAAAAACACAACTGGGAAAAAATGGAGTTTCAAGAGACAGAAAGGTAAATTTTTCAACCTGTTTAAAACGACCTTCAGTGACTTCTAATGTTATGTGAAAGTACCTTAAAGGAAAAGTTACTGAACCACCATCAATTCAAAATAAACCTGAATACATCCCATTAACCTGGTGCCTTATGGTCCTTACAGGCTTAATGGTCCCAATGAATATATTAATAGTAATCTTAAATGGCATCTTAGCAACTATGAACTCTTTAACTCACTGAGCTTGTTAGAGATTTGAGTCTCTTTCCCTGTGGTCTTCTCGGAAGAATCCGTCAACGAAGGATTGACGACATCCAATGGGACATGATCCTCTGTTTTGTTGAGTGTGTTATTTACTGGAGGCACAACAGGAATGAACATATCCTTATGGTCATCAAATTTCTCAGAATCTATGATGAATGGTTGAATCCTGTTATCTGCCATCGAGTTCCTTAGGATTCAATGGAAAGACACGATTAGTAAAGTGAAAAAAAGAGGCAAATTAATCTTTTAAAAAGTGCTAATACATAATAGATGTTCCATTGATTAATGCTATGATTGAAATGAATATATATTAAAATGTTTGAATCATGAAAAAAAATAGTCTAGTTTATTAACAGAACCCTTGGAAGGATTACCCTTTTTTTCTTGGATGAAATTACGTTCGATGTAGTGTGGATCTTAAAAAATATTTTTATTGTAATGAATGAAACTGAGGTGAATGTCCGAGCTTTGTCTGCAACAAAATTGAAAGTGGTTGTAAAGTTTGAAAAGGGCAACGAGAAATAAAATGTCAAAGGTATCAGAGAAAGCGAGAATATTTATTGTGTGTTTGTCTCTCTCTTTCTGAGTATAAAACGCAAACATTTATGAATATACATACTCATAAACATCAGATATACACACCTGGCGACAATGTGCAAAACGTGCAATGATCGTGAGTCAGGAGGAGGTTTGTGCAGCGACTCTGTGAAGATGCGATGGGTTAGAAAGCTAGCCAGTGACATTATATAAACAAATACACACACACACACAACACACACACACACACACACACACACACACACACACCACACACACACACACACACACACACACACACACACACATATATATATATATATATATATATATATATATATATATATATATATATATATATATATATATATATATATATATATATATATAATATATATATATATTCAACAAGTCGGCCGTCTCCCACCGAGGCAGGGTGACCCAAAAAAAAAAGGAAATCCCCAAAAAGAAAATACTTTCATCATCATTCAACACTTTCACCACACTCACACATTATCACTGTTTTTGCAGAGGTACCCAGAATACGGCATTTTAGAAGCATATACGTATAAAGATACACAACATATCCCTCCAAACTGCCAATATCCCAAACCCCTCCTTTAAAGTGCAGGCATTGTACTTCCCATTTCCAGGACTCAAGTCCGACTATATGAAAATAACCGGTTTCCCTGAATCCCTTCACTAAATATTACCCTGCTCACACTCCAACAAATCATCAGGTCCCAAGTATCATTCGTCTCCATTCACTCCTATCTAACACGCTCATGCACGCTTGCTGGAAGTCCAAGCCCCTCGCCCACAAAACCTCCTTTACCCCCTCTTTCCAACCCTTTCGAGGACGACCCCTACCCCTCCTTCCTTCCCCTATAGATTTATATGCTTTCCATGTCATTCTACTTTGATCCATTCTCTCTAAATGACCAAACCACCTCAACAACCCCTCTTCTGCCCTCTGACTAATGCTTTTATTAACTCCACACCTTCTCCTAATTTCCACACTTCGAATTTTCTGCATAATATTTACACCACACATTGCCCTTAGACATCTCCACTGCCTCCAACCGTCTCCTCGCTGCTGCATTTACCACCCAAGCTTCACATCCATATAAGAGTGTTGGTACTACTATACTTTCATACATTCCCTTCTTTGCCTCCATAGATAACGTTTTTTGACTACACATATACCTCAACGCACCACTCACCTTTTTTACCTCATCAATTCTATGATTAACCTCATCCTTCATAAATCCATCCGCCGACACGTCAACTCCCAAGTATCTGAAAACATTCACTTCTTCCATTATCCTCCTCCCCAATTTGATATCCAATTTTTCTTTATCTAAATCATTTGATACCCTCATCACCTTACTCTTTTCTATGTTCACTTTCAACTTTCTACCTTTACACACATTCTCAAACTCATCCACTAACCTTTGCAATTTTTCTTTAGAATCTCCCATAAGCACAGTATCATCAGCAAAAAGTAACTGTGTCAATTCCCATTTTGAATTTGATTCCCCATAATTTAATCCCACCCCTCTCCCGAACACCCTAGCATTTACTTCTTTTACAACCCCATCTATAAATATATTAAACAACCATGGTGACATTACAAATCCCTGTCTAACACCTACTTTTACCGGGAAGTATTTTCCCTCTCTTCTACACACCCTAACCTGAGCCTCACTATCCTCATAAAAACTCTTAACAACATTTAGTAACTTACCACCTATTCCATATACTTGCAACATCTGCCACATTGCTCCTCTATCCACTCCATCATATGCCTTTTCTAATTCCATAAATGCAATAAAAACTTCCCTACCTTTATCTAAATACTGTTCACATATATGCTTCAATGCAAACACTTGATCTACACATCCCCTACCCACTCTGAAGCCTCCCTGCTCATCCGCAATCCTACATTCTGTCTTACCTCTAATTCTTTCAATTATAACCCTACCGTATACTTTTCCTGGTATACTCAGTAAACTTATTCCTCTATAATTTTTACAATCTCTTTTGTCCCCTTTCCCTTTATATAAAGGGACTATACATGCTCTCCGCCAATCCCTAGGTACCTCCCCCTCTTTCATACATTTATTAAACAAAAGTACCAACCACTCCAACACTATATCCCCCCCTGCTTTTAACATTTCTGTCATGATCCCATCAGTTCCAGCTGCTTTACCCCCTTCATTCTACGTAATGCCTCACGTACCTCCCCCACACTTACATTCTGCTCTTCTTCACTCCTAAAAGATGGTATACCTCCCTGGCCAGTGCATGAAATTACCGCCTCCCTTTCTTCCTCAACATTTAAAAGTTCCTCAAAATATTCTCGCCATCTACCTAATACCTCCCTCTCCCCATCTACTAACTCCCCTACTCTGTTTTTAACTGACAAATCCATACTTTCCCTAGGCTTTCTTAACTTGTTTAACTCACTCCAAATTTTTTTCTTATTTTCATTAAAATTTCTTGACAGTGCCTCTCCCACTCTATCATCTACTCTCCTTTTGCACTCTCTCACCACTCTCTTCACCTTTCTTTTACTCTCCATATACTCTGCTCTTCTTATAACACTTCTGCTTTGTAAAAACCTCTCATAAGCTAACTTTTTCTCTTTTATCACACCCTTTACTTCATCATTCCACCAATCACTCCTCTTATATATATATATATATATATATATATGTATATATATATATATATATATATATATATATATATATATATATATATATATATATATATATATATATATATATATATATATATAATATGTCGTGCCGAATAGGCGGAACTTGCCTTCACAGACCCATCTGCTGACATGTTCACTCCCAAATATCTGAATACATTCACCTCCTCCATGCTCTCTCACTCCAATCTTATATTGAATCTTTCGTTACCTAATTTTTTTTGTTATCCTCATCACATTACTCTTTCCTATATTCACTTTTAATTTTCTTCTTTTACATACCTTACCAAACTCATCCACCAACCTCTGCAACTTCCCTTCAGAATCTTCCAAAAGCACAGAGACATCAGCAAAGAGCAACTGTGACAACTCCCACTTTGTGTTAGATTCTTTATCTTTTAACCCCACACCTCTTGCCAACACCCAAGCATTTACTTCTCTTACAGCCCAATCTATAAATATATTGAACAACCATGGTGATATCATACATCCTTGTCTCTAAGACCTATAATCTCCCTCTCTCCGGCATACTCTAACCTGAGCCTCACTGCTTTCAGTAACCTACCTCCTATTCATTACATATGCAACATCTGCCACACAACATATTTTATGTAAATTAAAGATTGCGGTTGAGAGTTCATCTGGCAAGTATTTTTAACATACTATGACTGCTGATTTAGTTAATATTTACCGCGTACATTTCAAGCCGTAAACATTACTCAGTCTCAGGGTATTCTTGTCGTTTTCGACGGTAAGTGATGAGTA